TCGTGTCGGAGAAGGTGACTCGTCGTGTCGGAGAAGGTGACTCGTCGTGTCGGAGAAGGTGACTCGTCGTGTCGGAGAAGGTGACTCGTCGTGTCGGAGAAGGTGACTCGTCGTGTCGGAGAATGTGTCAAGAGAAGGTGACTCGTAGCGACGGAGAATGTGTCAGAGAAGGTGACTCAACATGTCAGAGAATGTGTTGGAGAAGGTGACCCGTCTCTTCGGAGAACGTGACTCATCGCGCCGCAGAATGTGTCGGAGAACGTGACTCATCGCGTCAGAGAATGTGCCAAGAGAAGGTGATCCATCGCGTCGGAGAATGTGACTCATCGTGTCGGAGAAGGCAACCTATCGCGTCGGAGAAGGTGACTCATCATGTCAGAGAAGGTGACTCATCGTGTCAGAGAAGGTGACTCATCGTGTCAGAGAAGGTGACTCATCGTGTCAGAGAAGGTGACTCATCGTGTCAGAGAAGGTGACTCATCGCGCCGCAGAATGTGTCGGAGAAGGTGCCTTGTTGCGCCGGGGAACGTGACTCATCGAGTGACGGTGTGTGTGAAGATCTGGTGCACGTTGGTATTCTACAGACTCAATAAGTAGAAATTTTGGTGCCGTAAGTCGGATAAATTTGTATTAAAACACAGAAAAAAAAATAATCAGATGAATAAACCAAACTGAAGACAAATGAATATTCCATTGAAGAATTTTGCAGCGGGATAACCTATGGAGGGGGGTTTGTGGTTGAACGAACCGTTTGCCTTTTCACCGTTCCCCGGCTGCACTCACTTACCATTGCACTTAATTGTTTCCCCCAGATACAGCTGCGTATGTACACCCCTAATCCGTTATATACACACATACGTTCCCGCCAGCTTGTCTCTCGACTCCCGAGGCCGCCCAACGACGGTATAAAAACCACAGATTTGGTCTGGGAAAAATCGTGCAGAATCCACAGACGTAGAACCCACAACCCCAACGTTCCTTCGCCGACAAAACACATAAAAGACGTATAAAACGTATTTACACATACGGACAATTTATATACACATAGGACGCGCCGCGATGGTCGGCTGTCCTGCCTGCACCGTGTTGGCCAATGATAAAGGTTAAAAACTCGAGCGTATCGGTGACCTCTCCGTGCGTCTTAGGGGGCAGCCGCGGTGTCGGTAAATGAAACGCGCCTTGGTTTCGGAGAGAAGAGCGTCACATGATCAGACTAACGGGGGGTCCGTCACCAAATGCAGAGAAGAGACACCGGAAAGCAGTATCGTGGCGGAGGGGCTTTGTCACGAGTCGTCATCCGGGATGACCACCTTGCGGAAGCTCTTCGGTAGGTTAAAGACGCAGCGTTGCAATACGGCGGCAACCGCTTGGTTAATTGGCCCAGGACTTCCGGTTCTCCGCCTTCTTCTGGGCGTCGGCCCTCAGGCTCGCGGCTCGGTCCGATTTCGCCAGGGCAGTCAGCGTGGCGAGGTTCCCGGCAGAGCCGGAGAGACCGGCGCCCTTTCGGATCTCGGCGGCGGCTGTTCCTTGCAGCCGTAGCCCGGCGCTTTTTCTGCGCGCCGTGCCCGTGGCTTTCTTGACTCTGTCGGGCCTCACCAAGACGCCGTAGCCGGGGTTACACCTGAAGTACTGTTTGCCGCCCACGGAGCCGTCATTCTTGCCTGCGGCAATGGAGAAAAACAAATGAAGAATGGATTTTAGAAAAGGACAAAAATGTCAAATTGCAGCTCGCCAGTCCTGAGAGGAGGCCGCTCGGTGATCCTGCCAGAAACAATTTAGTAACACACACCCTAGGGCAGGGATGGCCAAACTGCGGCCCGCCACCTGTGGTGGAACTACGGATCCCATGAGGCTTTGCAAGATTCCCACAGCCACATGACTCCCGAAGAGAGATGCATCATGGGATTGGTGGGCCGGAGTTTGGCCAACC